GGATCACCCGTCGCCAGGGTAATTGACGCCCGTGTGAGGGGGTTTTAATCAATTTAATGTAAATGTAATTTTTTAATTTTATAAAATAAATTTTATTTTTATATAAAATAATTTTTTATTTTTATATTAAAATACAATTAAATGAAAAGAGCATTAGGTAATATTAGATAAAGTGCTGACAGTTCTCGCTATATTAGTTTTAAAAATAAATAGATAATAAAAAAAAATGCTAAAAATTTCAAATTGCTTCAGTCCTTCAGTCTGAACCTAGATATTAGCGATTCAGTTTTAGGCTAGCCTCGATCGTTATTACTACCGTTGTTGCGATAATAAACAAAGTCTCAAATATCCATTTTACGGATATTTCATCCACCGCAAAACTTATTCAAATCCACTAAATATCACAGGTATCCGATGGCATCGAGAGTTGATTATGGTCATGGTATGTTAATAAATGTCTAATCAATAATTTAGATAACATTTCAGGCCTAACGAAAGATCTGCAATAAGCTGATTTAGTTCTTGCTTAATGCATGTTTAAACAAAAATACAATTTACAAATCTGATAAGACAAATGTCTGCTTTGGAAAACAGATATTATTTTAAACATACAAATGTTACTTCTTAGATACACAAGTTAATTTTAAGATACACATGTTAATTTTAAGATACAAATGTCGAAATACGACAGCAAATGAAAAATTAAGGAATATGAATAACGAATTAAGCACACTGAATAAAGGACTGCTTGATTTTACAATGACTTTTGTATCTGTAAACAAACTAGTTAATAATGTTCAATAATATCGGGCCATGAAAGCCGAAGTTCAGTTGTCGTTGAATTTAGAAAACGATTATCTTCAGGACATCAGTCGATCTCGTTTTTGAGAGCAACTAAATAAGATCATTGCATCTTTAAAGAGGTGCGTTCAAAACAGAGCCGTTGGCCACCACCTATTATTGTTAAAAACTTGTGAATTAAAGATGGATTTACACGAAAGTATTTATGAGGTAGTTATCTCCAATTAACGTATGGCATATTTGGTATGTATGGAAAGTTGAGACACCCAATCATATTAAACAAATACTTGATTCACAAATGAGGCGCCCACGGGACAAAAATGTAATGGTGGGTATTAACTGGCAACATGTTGGCTTGTTGTCTGCTCGAATGATGTATGGAGCGATTGGTTTTGTCAACCGAATAGCTAACGGTTGTGAGAACATTGATAGACTATAGATTCTGCTATTAAACGGTGGGCAAGGAAGTTCGCGGAGCATCATAATCTTGGAATTTACTTCGATAATTTGGGGTAAATGGACAGCGAGTAAAGACCAATCCAATCTAACAAACAAGTATCCTTATAATAGATTTTTACAGCTTGGGTAGTTTGTTGCGATTTCAAGCTGGATTTTAAGCAATCTTTTGACAGGAAAAAATAGTTTGAATATGTGTTTAATCCAAATGTATCATACAACTTCACAGTTTGTACGTGGGAAGGCATCTTTAACTATTACATTTATACAAAAAAACATCGACCGATGATTTGTATTACTTAAAGGGGCCAAGTCTCTAACCCAATATCATCCAAAATCTTCAACATTGAAAACACGATTTATTTGTCAAATTAAATCAACATTCATGTTGTGATCTTGCCGGAAAAAGATGGGTATTTGATATCCAATATTTAAGACAAAATAAACATTTTACCATTGGTACGCGAATCGTGTACCATAATGCGCTTCAGCCCCAGTTGTATCAAGAGACTCGAGGGACGCGGCTAGACACATTGCACCAAATCAAACGGCGTATGTAGACTGGAATAACCAGACGCTAGAAATTTGCACTCGCTTGAGACTGCTGGCTTATTTCGCCGAACATAACTGATTTGAAATTGGAGTAAAAACGGAAACCATTGAATGTAAATCAGTTTATATACATTCATATTACAGTATTATATGCGTTGCGACCCACTTTTGTCAATTTCTAGGTTCAAAATGTTAGCGATTTAGCTCCTTTAACCTAATTCCTTCAACGTTTAGCTTAGATCATATATAATCTACTGTATGCCTTTAACTAAGCTAGTTTTTGTCATGAAAATCCCACTCTACCCAGCGGCAACCCCCACACTGTTATTATATATGAAGCTACTCCATTGTCATCCGGAACATACCAAATTGGCGGAAATGCACTCGGTGAGTCATGTTAAAGGACAATATTTGTGTCAGTCATTATAAAATATGTGATAGAGCTCGTTAAATACATCCCAAATATAATTTTAACACAGAGATCATTGCTACGGGAGATGTCTAACAAGCACGTGAAGAAACGGGAAGTGACGTCAAACATGACAAACATGAGTTGTCCTTCTATATACTTGACTGAAGTAATGAGCGGTAACAGACGAACGATCGAATTTCATTTCACTGATAATTCCGTTGAAGATGAAAAGTTGTTATATCTGACGATGAGAGGATATCTGACAATTCAAAAAAAGAATTGGCTGTCAGTAGATAAAAGATAACGAACAAATTAGAAAAAGTCCGTGCATTACTATGTTTTTATTAACAGCAGAATGAATAAAAACGGGGGAATGCACGGGATTTTTCTACTTTTTCTCGTGTCCCTTATCTAGTGACAGCCAATTCTATTTTTGAATTGTGAGATACCCTCTCACCGTCCCATATAATAACTTTTCAAACTCAACGGAATTATCAGTGAAATGAAATTCGATCGTTTGTCTGTTACCGCTCGTTACTTCAGTCTGTTATACAGAAGGACAACTCGTGTTTGTCATGTTTGGCGTCACTTCCCGTTTCTTCACGTGCTTGTTACACGTCTCCCGTAGCAATGATCTCTGTGTTAAAATTATATTTGGAATGTATTTAACCAGTTCTATCACATATGTAATAATGACTGACCCCAATATTGTCCTTTAATGTTCTGCCCGTGAGTAAAACTTTTGCGTGAAATTCTCTTGGAACTCGTTATTCTATTTTCAAGTAACGATCTGAACCTATGCGATACGTTTTCAAGAATCCACCAAGGTCTCGGTGTTTCCGGTGGATTGGGGCACGAGATTATTAACTAGCAATTGTCTTGCGTCTGGATAAACATGTCCACAAATCAGACGCGTGCGCAGGAACAACTTCCCACAATACCTCTGTTATCTCGCTGCTTCCCGGCGTTTTAATTATATCTTGGCTAATATAACAAACCACAAGTTTAATAAGCCATGCCCTCACATTTTTGTGATTGATATACCAAATTGTTTACTTGCACTTCTTTAAATTATTAAAAAATTATTAAAGATTTGTCGTATAGATTTTGTCCTATTAATAATCCAAATTAGATAAACCAAGAACAAAGACGTTTATCTCGAGGCATTCTTAAACATAGTAATGATTATAAAACATTTTCCATTAAAACCATCGCTTTCTCGGTATTAATATTTTAATTATAACGTAATGACATTCTTTCAAGTCATTTTTTATGTTATTTTATAATTTTAGAATGTAATCTTCCTCCATTTCACGACATTATTAAAGAATGCTATAGGACAGATTGAGCCCCCGTGGTTTCTTACTGTAGGCCTATATATTTCTGGGTTTCATGAAGTCATTAATTTTAAAATGATACGCAATAAGGACATATTGTTTACCGACAAGTAAAAACGGTCGAAATCAGCTCCGTGGTTCCTTGCTGTATGTTTTTCTGGTTTTCGTGAGGTCATTAATTTTAAAATGTTAACAATCGACCTATAATCTTCCTTAATTTCACGATGATACGCAATAAGGACATATTGTTTACCGACAAATAATTAATTTTAAAATGTTAACAATCGACCTGTAATTTATCTGAATTTCACGACATTATCAAAGGACGGTACGTAATAAGGACATGTTGTTTACAGACATGTAAACGCGGAAGTATTCAGCTTCCGTGGTTCCTTGCTGTTACATGTATTGTTTTGGGGGTATTTTTATGAAGTCATTAGTGGATAACAGGACGGGTATCTTCCTCCTTGTTCAAGTATTCAGACGACATCTAAATGGCAACATACGATTTTGACTAATGGAATGGAACAAGAACAGGCCATAACCTAATTAGCTCATGTCATCTCGCCTGTTGTCCGGATGGGATACAGAATGTCAATGCGGCTCTATTCAAGTGCAATAAAGGAAGAGCACATTCATAATCCTCGAAAGGGGAAACGAAGAATACTGCGATGCCCCCTTACCCTGCTATACAAGAGGCATTAGACGTTCTGTTTATGTACTAATGCCTATTTATACGGCGCTATATAAGCAAACAACTTGGTTTTTATTCGGCTATAATAGTGAATATATTACAACAAATTTCATTCAATTTACTTTATTCTGAGCGATGTTAGAGTTTTCGAAGATGCAGCGTGGATCAAAAAACACCACACTAAGACTAATAAAATTGTGTTTCATAATTTATTTACCAGCGACTCGAGACTCGAGCATTTTAAAATTGAATTTATCTTGGCATGGATTCGACCACTAATTCGGCACACCTCGGCATAAACTGTAGTCCGCCGAGGTTATCCGATTGCTGATCTCTGAGGAATGTGTAGTCGCCATTGTCGCGGCGGTCGAAGAAGAAAGGCCAGCTCGCGCTCTGGTAACCGATTTGCAGTTTCACGAAGTTTGAAGTTTACACAATAAAATAAGTTCTTTTAAAATCCTAAAAAAATAGCATGTTACAATGTCGATAAACACCTCCTGTTTCGCATTAAGAGAGGTGTGATTTTTCAATAGACATGTCCTGAGATTTTACATTAGACAATATTGGACAATAACACCCCTCTAAATGCGAAACAGGAGGTGTTATCTCCTAAACATGACGGCAGTTTGGGGCATCTATTTTTAAAGTAGATAGTTCTCAGTAGATAGTTCTTGAACTAAAAATTAAGCAAGAGCAATAAATGGTGTTTGGTGCAACTCATTTTAATAGACTTTCGTTATATTTTCAGGTACTACGCCATTGTTCACCCATTGTCTGCTATGAAGATAAACAGTAAATCTAGAACCAGGAAGATTATAGCTGTAACATGGATAATACCTATAATACTTGCTTCACCATATACATATTGTAGCAGTTATGGTTTTGTAATAGAAAGTGAACTGGGCCGAATTTCGCGCCAAATCTGTAATGACAGATTTGACGAGATAGACATTGCTATGTACGGACCGGAAGCCTGGGGATCTGGGAGGTTCAGACGAGGATTTTTTATATTCTTATTTTTGGCAGTGTACCTCATTCCTGCGTTTCTTATTCTAACAACTTGTGTTAAAATAGCCATTTGTCTACTACAACCAATAAGTATCAAGCGACTACCGTCATTGGGCCGTAAAGAACATAGTCGGCGACATGAGGAAAATAAACGCAAGGTAAGCCAAACCCTTCCATTTTATCGTGGAACCATTTAGGTGCCAAGCGTTGGGTATTTACATTACTGAGGAGGGTAATTAAAAATGGCTGATCCACAATCCACAAACTGAATTCCATGTTCAAATTGACCAAAATCCAACATAGCCGTCAGTATTTGCTGGAAAATGACACTTGGTTTCCAATTATCATAATAGGATCGAGTTTGGTTTATAAAAAAAACAATATAAACTTTCGGGGTAGCGGAGTCTATTCCATACCAACTTTGGTGATTACTTATACCACGAAGTCAATATTGGGGAATAATTCAAGATGGTGGTCAGTTTGGGCGGGAAAATTCGAATTTTACAAAATGATCACATTTCGTGTCAAAATATGCCATATTCGACACACTTCCTCATTTTGGTGATTAATCGGTTCCCCTGGGTCAATATAGGAGGAAATTTAGTATGAACTATGGCAGCTGGCTAAAAATGGTCTAAATCTGTAAAAGGCAGACCAATTATGTTGAAACAAACTTTAGCCACCAACAAGTAAAATCATTGAATGAATCATTGATATAAGAACTGCATCTGTATTGTTATTATTGTCTTCGTACAAGACCATCTTGAGAAGCTACTTATTGAAATCACCAGAAATGGACAAAAAGGCTATAGGGCAGTCATCAAGTACCTGCAACTGAAAGGATTAACCCTAAACACATATATATGCCGACATGGTAGCACTTTAGGGTAGGATGTTCCTTACTTTTCCACAGTAAAGAAGTTGGCTGCGGAATTTAAGCATGGGAGAGGGAGCCTAGGCGATGACCCGGGTCCTTAAAGGCCACCAACAGCAACCATTCAAGAAAACATTACATGGTGAAGTCCCGTGACAATCTGTGCCGTTTTGAAGCAGATTCCGATAATTTTTTTGCCAGATTTGTAACCATGTATGAGACCTGATGTAAAATTCTAATTTCCTCGCCCAAACTGGCTACAATCATGACCCCCACCCAAAACACAAAACCTTGTATGGAAATGAATTCAGCTACTCCAAAAACGTATATTTTGATACTAAACTCGATCATAGGTGGAAGTTGGAATTTTCAAGCCGTAAACAGTGGCCATTTTGGATTTCGTTCAGTTTGACCCATTTAGACACGGTTTTCGGACTGGGACTATTTTATTGGGGGGGGGGGGTTATACGTCTAGACCCACCTTCTATTGCAGCAACTGCCTGGGCTATTTGGCTTGCCACGCTAAAAGCAACCCCAATATGAATTTCGTTCCGATGGGCCTGGGATTAACACTGAGCGTTTAACGCCCCTTTGACTAGATATCAAGTTAGGCCACCCCTTCTCCGTCATTACCGATTTATTAGAGACTAAAGATTGTTTATTAAAAATAAACGACTGTTCTAATTATATTTTCGTCGCCCTCGTCCGTCCGTCCACAAATTGTTTGTGGACACTCTACAGGTCACAAGTCTTATCCAATTTTGACGAAACTTGACTGATTGCACGAAAAATCGCCTTTTTATCTTGGGGTCTCCCTAGAGGTCACACTTTTTATCCGATTTAATAGAATCGTTCCAATATATCACTGTTACACCATAATGATGATTGAGTTCGAATATCGTGAAAATCAGACCGAAACTGCCCACCAAAATGGCCGCTCCCCATACGCAAATAGTGTAAAAGTATGGCATATCAAGGTTGTGTACCCTCTAGAGGCTATAATTTTGATCCGATGTTGATGAAAATTTACATTTATGTTTATATCACAAACATCTCGGACACTTTCGATAGTCGCGCATATTGGTCTGTCACTTTCTGGATTATGGCCCCTGATTGTACGAAAAACTCACGATTTTAACTTGTGGGTCCTTTAGAGGTCACAATTTGTATTCAAATTTAAAAACCGTTTAATTATATCACCGTTATACCTTAATGATGGTGAAAATCCAATCGAAAGTGCCCGACAAAATGGCCGCTCTTTGTATGCAAACAGTATAAAAGTATGTAATACCAAGGTTGTGGTCACAATTTTTTCCGATTTGAATGAAACTTGAAATGTGTGTTTAGAACCCAAAGATATCGGACAGTAACTTCCTGGATAATGGCGCCTGATTCTACAAAAGATCACATTATTTTTTTTAGCTCGTTCACTGTCCACCTCTTGCAAAATGGGGGCGTATCTTGCATAGTAACCGCTTGTTTATTCAAATGTTACTGTTTCTAACAAAATATCGTGATGATAGAAAGTTGATTAAATTACCAATTCGAGCGAAAAATCAGAAAACATAAAAGAAAGGAAACTGAAATTAGATTTTAATTTTATTCATGTAACTTTAAACGTTAAATAGCCGGTTAAATTCAAAATCATGTTAATGGCGTAAAAGGGACCAAAAATAACATCTAGTTTTAGTTAATCATCTTTAAAGTACGAATAATTCTAACTTAATATCATATATTCAAAATGAAAAACACAAATTAGAATTCGGTATTCGTCCGTTTCAATCAATGTTGTTATCATACTGTGTGTGTATATATATATAATTTCATCTTGGGTGAAAGCGCTAGCTAAGATGAAATTAGTTTTTTCTTTCTGGGTGAAAGCGCTAAGATGAAATTAGTTTTTTCTTTCTAAAAACCTCACTTTCCATATACTTTTACCCGAGAGTAGAATCTTTTAGGTGGATCACGCATTTTCCACCAAGGATTAGCAGAGATTAGCAATTTGATTGGTTCAGACTTTGGAACACGACAACTTTGGATCTAATTGGGTGAAAGCGATGAAATTCCGAGTATAGTTTCATTATATCAATACCTTGACTAAGTTCGATGATGAGAATTGTCTGCTTAGGCTAAGTAGCGATAAGCAATGTAGATAGGTCAAGCTTTTGAAACATAACAGCTCTGCTTTTAATTAAGGTAGAATGTTTAAACTTGTCGTGACTTAGTTCAATGATTAACATTTCCCACTAAAGCTAAGCAGAGCTAAGCAATTTCATTGGTCGATGATTTGGGACAAAATAACTTTGATTCTAATTAATGGAAAGTAATGATACTTAGTGTATAATTTCACTACCAGGTACTTCAAAACCTTGACTGAATTTGATCGTGAACATTTTATGCTTAGACACAATAGATAATCTGTACTATCGGACTTGTTCTAAATCGGAGTGAACATCTTAAATTGACATCTTCTCCTTAACCGCTTGAAAAATTGCAAGCATGTTGTCGTAGACTCCTAGCTTTAAACCTTATTTGTCAAGTGGCCATAATGTCAAGATTGTACTTTTTCAGATTTGTTTAAATGAAGTATTCCACTTTTTGTGCAATTTTTAATCTTTGCCAAAACCATTTAAATAATTACATTCGAATTACCTTAGCATTGGTCGATTTGGTAAATTACAGTACTTTTGATCGTGCATGATCTTGGGCCCTAAACTTCTGGTTATAGCTCTTTTAAAAGAATAAAATCGTCAGCGTTTAAGAGATAACAGCGAGTGTGCATTTTTTTTTTTTTTTTTTTTTTTGCTTTATATTCTATAAGCTTTCTAACGTGACTCTTGAGGTTAATTTTGTGAAAATTAAGACACGTCTTTATGGTCGTCTGATCTGCCATTTACAGATCAAAGTAGGAAGATTTCAATCAAGTCTTCAGTCTAAAAATCTTTTTAATTCCAAATAAATGGAATATTAATCTTAAATAGTCTAGCACAAATGGCTTGGATGGTTATTGACTTGACTATTAACAATATTGTTAAGTATGGGAATTAGATACGAAATCGAAAGGATTCAGATCGTATGTGTCAAAGTTAAGATTGTCAAAATAAATATGTTATAATATTAATTAATGTTTTAGTGTGATTGTTGGGTGAAATACCAATTATTCCATAATATATGGTTTAAAAATCATTCCAGTAACCATTTAGTGGCACAAAATTGTTTGACTTGAAATATATACTTATTGTATATTGACCCGTGGGACCTAGGCATAAGGAAATTAACACAATAATATATTTAAATCGGGAAAAAATTTAATTGTAATATTGGAGCCAAACGGTATCCACAATCCAAATCATACTCCTCGCAGTGTTTCGTTTGATTATACCTAATCCCACTAAACACTGCTTTAACGAAAGCATATTTCTGTTCCAAATTATGACTGGTCAATGGTCCGATTAACAACCAATAGCTAACTGCGTTACAAAAGCATTACTCTTAAAACAGAGCTCCAAATTGGACCAAATATGTTTACATAGCGTTACGTCATGACTCACGACATTATTATGCCCAATTAACCAGTGCACAAAAGAATATTGCAGAAAAATTAATTGCGTGACAAACGAGGCTATCAAATCAAAAACAATGTAAACAATACTGTTTGGAGGGCTGTCATGTTGCTGTACTTGGGATAGATTTGATTGAACGGGAAGAATAGACAAACTCCCTCAAAAGTTCAAGTATCAGAAGCCAATCCAGCAATGGCCAGAAAGGGATTTCTCGGGCCGGAATATGAATTCAAATAAGCAATTACGAAGATGTTGATCACCAGCACTGCAAAGAATCAGATATTAAATCTATACATAAAGGATATGGGTTGCTTGTGGGGTTTGCTGTAGGAAACCAAACGGTTGAACTTATCCATTTTAAAATTACTTTAGAATACCAATATACGCAATGGTGCTATTTATTTTGTATTTGGTACAGCTGTTAATGATGAAACGAACAATTATTGACACAACACGCTTCCAAGGATATCCAATGGAGAAAACTTGCAATATTGACCCACCTTGCATACAAATGGATTTTATAAAAAAAAAGAGAGAGATAAACTTTGTGGACGTTTCATCCCCGTTTCATTTCACGTACTGCTGACCTAGTTAATAAAATATATTTTTCCGGTACTAAAATAACCTTAATGGTTCTATTTATTTTGTATTTGGTGCAGTATCTAATGGTGAAATTGACAGCGCGTTATAGTCAAAGATAGAAAATACCCTTTATCAATAT